TATATATATATATCAGTTCAATCGCGCTGTATATCTGTATAAAAATCGCTATGATCCAATTTTCGAGTTTACGACTACCAAAGTTTAAATGTTATTAAACATAGCAGTTTTGTCACATTGTCAAAATTTATTACTAACAGTTCTTTTTTTCTTATTTTTTAAAAAACATTTATTTTCATATTTGGAAAACTAAGATACGTTGCATATATTTTTCTAACTGAAATAATATTTGGTATATTATTGTCAATAATATATATTACTAATGAAAGTGATTTGAAACATTTTAAAAGTTTTTAACCTGTTTTATTATATTTAGAAGATAGTTTTAATGCTATTTTTTTAAATGGTAAGTCATTTATTTAGAGTTTTATTTTGCAATTTTTTCAGATATAATTTTTTGTCATATATTTCTGTCAGATTTTAGTTTTCTTTACTTCTACGAACAAATGTTGAGTTCAGATTGTTAAGATTTATTCAATAACAGTTTTGCAATATTTTTTTTAAAGAATTTACTCTCATATTTGTGAAATTAAGATTCCTTGCAAATAGTTATTTCTAGCTGAAGTTATGTTTAGTATATTATTGTCAATAATATATAAAACTAATGAAAATGTACCGGAATTTTTAAAAGTTTAAAAAAAATATTATTTACAAATTAATTTTAATTGTTTTTTTCTCCTAATAATGCATAATTTATTTAGAGATTTCTAATTTTTAATTTCTTTTCATTTAGGAACAAATGTTGAGTTTACTCTGTCTCCATTCAATGACAAAAATAATGCCATGGATTATGAATCTGTCTCTGATGCAGTTGATTTTTTGGAAATGAAAATAAAAACACAGCAGCTTCATCTTACAGATTTAAATGGTCGGCTATTAATGACCACCATGAACGGTAATAAATGTTTTTATTTAAAATTAATAAAAAATATATATTGCACAGATAACAATTTTTATTACATTTCTCTAAAAACAAATTAAAAATAAATCTGAATGACACAATATAATAATATATACCTCAAACCTTATTTTAATGCTTTTGTGAAGTGAAATGTATTTTGACAATAGCTTCGATTTAAATCTTACATATTTAATTGGTTGGCTATTAATGACTACCACAAACAGTATTGTAGTAGTCAATAATAATTTTCAAATATTATTGAAAAATAATTTCTGACTGAATTTTGCTAGTGTATAGTGTTTTAGAAAAAGACGAATACCTCCCAGAGGATGGATACCCATGGCGAAAAATCATGATGGTTTGCTATTGATGGAGCTATATAAATGTGGTGGTTACCATCTTGAATTTCCATCAGAAACCATCATACAGCTTGATGGAACCATCAAATCTGCTCAGTATCCCAAGTTAGGAATTGGCACCTTTTCATGCTGGGCCAACATGAAAAGGTGCCAATCACAATATGATGGATTTTTGTAATGGAATAGAATTTGTTAGTCAAAGAATTTCTCACATTACATATTGGTTGTATGTAGTAAAATATCATTTTCCAGCATGAAACGATGGAAGTTTGTTGTTCTATCAAAATCCATTGCAATATGAGTGAAATTGTTGGATGTTGGTTACCATCAAATAGTGGTTACAATCAAAAAACCAACATAAACCATTAAAATATCTTGATGGTCTTATCAAGAACTCTGTCTTGGGTACACTGGCTAGTTGAAGATCTCATTTAATAAAAATGCAATTGCTGATGGTCCGTAGTGGACTTTGAGAAAGCTTGTTGATATGTATTTGGCCTGTACTAGGTTGTAGTGCAATTGGAAGGAACAAAATATTTACAGTAGTTGAATTTAAAGTAATTTGTAAGCAAGGCTTAATGACATATACGAATTCAACTTACTTATTCGAATTCAACAATAATATGAAGATTCACACACACTCTTCTTAGAGTTCTTCTGTAAGTTCATTATATTACGACAAGTGATCACAAAATTTTCTTGAGATAAAACTTATCTAATCCTATTATCGAATTCTTTGCTAATGCTTACTTTTTTTATATTAAAAATTAATGTTTAAAACTAAAGGAATCAAAATGAAAAAAAAAACATTTGACATTATTGTTACAAATTCAAAATAATGCAGGTGTTTAAAACCCTATGAACATTAATGATCCTATTTTCAGAACATGTTAATTTTCTAAAACATGAAGGGTGTCATCATTTTCTGCAACTATTTTGGAAAAATATGACGTTCGGTTATACTATAATATTAATATTAAAATCTTGATACCGATATGATGTCAAACAATTGTGGTTTTTAAAACACTTTTTTGTTGGTTTTTAATAATAGAAAAACTTGCCACTTTTTACAGAAAAAGAGTTTGCTTTTTTTTCCCTCCAAAATTTTGAATACGTCCTGCCAAGAAATGGGTAAAAACGGATAAACAGTGCAAACGAATGGCATAATGTAATTATTTATATGGAAAGGAAATGTAAAATGTAGCAATTTAATTGATCGACTACTAATGGTCCTCAGGGACAGTAACAAATTATTGTTACCAAAAATAAATAAATGCATACATACATAAAAAAAAATAAAAAAAAGAGAAGCAAATTGTCTTTTTGCAAATGGAGAAAGAATAGTAAGTAATTCATGTTGTTTTTTTTAATGAATGTATCGTGAAAACAATGTTAAATGGCAAAATGGAATATCATACAAAACGCAATTTAAATTTTTTTTGGAAAATAAATGTAAAAAACAACAGTTTGGGACAATTAGTTCGCTATTAATGATCCCCACGGACTGTATTAGTTTTTTTTAAATATAAAATAGAAAATGCAAATAACAGTTTTAAAAAACCACTTGACTTAAATTTTTTTGAATGTAAGTTGCCAGAAACGATAAGTGCCTATTACAAAAAAGATTGTTTTATTTGAAAACTAAATATAAAAAGCACCAATGTCGACATGTATAATTAAATTGAAGTAATTACTATCCCATTTAAGAAATTAAAATCTGATAGACAATTTAACTTTCGACAAATATTAAATTTTCACTTTATTTTAAAACTAACACTCACGGCAAATTTAGAATTTAACATAACGATTATAATCAATAATATGTCTTTGTCGTAATAATATATTATTTCCTTAACAAATTGACAAAAAAAACAACAACAACAACAACTATACTTCTCTTACTATTCCTTATAATAGGACGCTGCCATCTAATGTAAGCATTTTCTCTATGCAAACTCTGTAAGAGAGGTACTTTTTTATAGTGTTAACGTTTTTTTCTTAACAATATCAACATTTTGCATAATATTAGACATGTTGCATTGAGTAAAACATTTTCAAATCTGGAGTGCGTTAAATTATAATATCATAACTGCCAACTTGTACGGCAGTTGAGAAATAATTTTTATGGTGGTAGCAACATTAGCATTTTGGTGTAATAAATTTTGAAGTTTAAAGTTTCAAAAATATTTTTTAACTACCCTGATTAATCAAAAATTTAAAAAAAATATGTAGATAAGACCTACTTTTTTTTGGCTAATTCTAACTTTTACCCTGTTAAAAGAAAGATAGTTTACAAGATAGTTAGCAAAAAAGTATTTCTATATTTTTGTCCAATCCCTGTATTTATTGCGCAAAATAATTTCTTTTGTTTATAAACATTAATTGAGACAGCTCTTATTTGTATAATTGTATATATTTATGGCAGGTTTTAAAATTATTTTGTATACAATTTCCGTTACACTAAACATAGAATTGACGCTCAATAACACGAATAAATAAAATGTTTGACGCAGTTAATAAATTATTCACAAAAATATTTAATTTTAATATTTAGATGAAAGGAACATAATGCCAGCCATGTCTGGACAATATCCCATTTTTATTATAATAATATACAAATAATAATCATTGCATTAGATAAATAATATGTATGAAACTTCCATAAACGTTAATTTGTAGACAGCGCTAACTGGCAGAATTTAATGTCTTTAATGGCGCTTTTCAATGTTGAATAGGCACAATTAAATTGCTGACAATTAGAAATAGATCTGTAATAACGGGACAGCGATTCGCTTCACGCAAATATCTCGCATCAGCTTTCAGAGCTTTCAGCAATTCATTCATTATAATGCCACTTTCTTTGTATTCTAATTAAGGAGAAGTGAGAAAATAAACTTTTATGTCTTTTTATTGGTTTTTATATTCTGATAATAGTTTCATTATTGTATGTTTGTATTCATATTCAGGAGTGAAAACCATATTATTGATTCTCCATATCAAAACTCAAATAGCTGTCAAGCTTTGTTTAAAAATAATGAAGCTGTTATCATAATTAAAGTAACAATTCACACAATCATTAATTGCCCTACTTTTAAGATGATAAAAAGGCTCATTTATTTAGTTTTTAATGTTTATACAAAGATGCCAACTGCTCCGGACAAGACAAAATAATTAAAAAAACGGTAAAGAACTACAAAGTAAATTTTGCAAATATTTGACTATTTTTGCTTGCTTTTTAAAAGGTATGGCTTGATTTAAGTATTGAAAAGTGGTGAATTATATAAGCCTGCAAATTATTTAGAAATAGTGGTGGATGAAAATCTACTGAATTGAATTTATTACATCAAGAATCACAATTGACAAACTACCTCTGTAAAATATATATTTGCTGTCCGGAGCAACTTGGCATCTCTGGTTTGTATTGTATTCCTTTAGAGAATAAATTTAAGGGATTTATTAGCAATTACTAAATGAGTTATAAAATCGATCAATAATGGCAAAAAACTTTAAAGTTTCTCTCCAGGAAAAGAATAATAAAATGAAGCTATACGATGAATAAATGCTATATGACAAACAAATCGAAGATTACAAATCAATAAGAAAAATAAATAAAAAAAAGAAAAGTTAGCAGAATTTCTGCCACATTATTCATAGCTAAGTATGTTGTTTCAGAAATAGATTAACCTACTTTTGTTAATGAATTAAGTGTAGTTACAAGGTTAGATTCGTTAACTAATCCAATAAAAAATTCCAAAAATTCATCCTGAGTCAAATTCAGTTCTTTCCTGAATCAATTTTTATTAATAATTGGATCATTTATTTTTATTAATTCCTGGAATTTTGAACTTAGACCCAGTTTTTGATTTGGCTGTTTCATCCAAGTTAAAATTTTAAATTAATTGGTCCCGAATGGGTTTATTTTGCAAAATCAAAACTAAGAATAAAAACAATAAGTTAGTTTATTGAGAAAAGAGCATGTCTAAAATCTGCTCCCTTATCTGGAAAGCAATTATAGCTACTTTTTTGGATAATTGAAACATACATCACGACCAAAACCTTTTTTTTACAGTAATGACACATATATCTGGCTCTTATTTTACCTCGCTAAAAGAAAATAGCACTGAATAATTCATAATGAATAATAGAAAGAGATTTTTTTACGCTCCTTCTGAAAAACGAATAGAAATGAATTTGTTTATAACTTTATTTTCTCTTTTCTGTCTCCTTCCCCCCCCTGGAACTAATTAGGATTTACCAAAAAAAAATAATGATTTTCAAATTCAAAACAAATTAATATGATTTGTTGGGAGATTCTAAGCAAACCAGTCTTAATTTTCACAAAGTTTCAAACTAGTTGGAAAGATCGTCAACAGAAGGAGCTGGCTGCTTCAAAGAAAATGTATTAAATAAAGTTTTAGAAATAGCCATCATTTTCAAAAGAAAGTAGTAAAGCTTTTGACCTGTTCATTCAATTCGTATAATCTGGCATGCATCAGCAAGCTAAGTTTCATAACAAGCAAGACACAGAAAGCTGTGCACTTTTTATTCCTTTTTTTATTCTTTAACCCATTAATGCTAAACAACAAAAAAAGGGTCAAAGTATGGAAAAAACCTACATAAGAAAATTTGTAGAGCATAATTATGTATATGAAGAGGATATTTCTTTTTGTTGCCCACCACTTTAGCTTTGAAAATGCAGTATGCTTTGATTTTAAATCCAGAGTTAAATATTCGCATTATTATATAGTATGGCGTATTATTATATAGTATGGTATAATATATAGTTATCTATCATATTTTTAAAAATAAAACCTAGTAAAAACACTTGAAAATCCTTAAAGTAGCAATATTTAATAAAAAAATTTCACTCAATTAAAGCATTTTTCTTCTTCTTCTCAGAAACTACAGCCAGTTACCGGCCAAGGCTATCTCGGTCAGTTTATCCCATATAGATACTGTATTTTTTCATCTATTAACTCCCAAGAATCCTTTAATCTCTACTCTTTCTCTAGCTTTCTCTAGTCTACTCTTTCTCTAGTCTCTAATCTCCAGTCCTTCTCTACTCTATCTAACCATCTTATTGCTTAAAGCATCAAGAAAAAATAAAATATACATCTTTTTATTTTTTTCCAGAGTACTATTTATAACATCAATATAGCCTAGCCAATCAATGTAGCCAACATCACTAAATAGGAAAATAACCGAACCAAAAACAACCTTTTATGTAGATTAGAAAACTGATAATAATTTGTGCTCTGTTTATTTCTTCAAAACAAGTTAGAATTGTTTGCAAAACTATTAGATTCAGATTGCGTTTTCACCCGTGATTAATACTTGTCAATTCTGTATTTTGCACCGAAACGGCCGGTGGTTGCTACTTCTGTTTAGTTATTAAATATTAAACAATGCTTAAAGTTTCATTGAATAAATTCTGAAATTGTTTCAAATTCAACATAACACGTAATGTTTTTCTCTGTTTTATTAAATGTGCCCTGACAATTTTTTAGACGTTAAAAGCAAAAGCAGCACGCAACTCTTTTCGTGAACGCAGAATTGAAAATTGAAGATAAACAAAGCAATTCTTTTTTATGACTGATTATTTTAACATAAAATTTCTTTTTTTCACGTCGTTTTTCCTTCGAAAAAAATTGGAAAAATTATAAATTAAACAAAGTAAAAAATATAATTAAGTATATAATGCGACAAAGTTAAAATATTGTTAATGTGTTCAATAATCATCACTCATGACACATCAAAATCCAACGTGCCCATTATTTTTCTTAATCATATGAAAGCTTAATTAATTCTTTATATTTATCTCGGAAAGGCAAGCGCTTCGAGTACAGTGCACAAAATAAAAAACGGACTACCCTAATTAACTTTTGATCTAACGATCGGATCTTCATGTTCTAGGGGTCAATCATGATGATTTGGGGGGGGATTCAAATATGCGTATTAATTAGTGCAGATGATATTTTAAGTTATGAAATCAGACACAAAAGCGTACTTTCTGTGAATATACATAAATTTTTTCGACGGATTCGAATTTTGGACACCCAAAATATAGGGGGTAGCCGCAATCTTGGAAATATGTTCCCAATAGTTTGGTCAGGAGAGCTCTTCAAAGATTGAGTCACTTAATGTTAACTTATTTTTTGCGTATGCACACAATTATAGGTGCGTCTATTACAATACAATATTATTACAACTTTTTGCATATTTCGTCATATCTATAGAGAATAAAAAAATTTTTATCCAGATTTTTCTTTACACAATTATAAATTTTGTTCAACCAATGATAATTCAATACAAATTATAACTTTAAGAAAAATGCTGTCATTTTTTATTATTTTATTTAATAATTGCTGAAAAAATTTGGATATTAAGGTTTACCATTACCATACCACACCATTAAGGTTAAACTATTTTAAAGAATGTAAATTTACATAGCAAAATGAAAAATTTGAGTGAAATCGGTCTAATAGTTTCTAAGAAACCATATTTTGAAAAAGTTCCTTTTTTTAAAATTCAATTTCTCGGGAACTATTCGACCGATTTTGCTCAAATTTTGAATTTTGCCATTTAAAATTGTATTCTTTAAAATGATGTAATGTTGTAAACAGTTGTATACCTTACAATTCAAAACTTCTTCGATTATTCTTAAATAAAATTACAAAAAATCATAAATTCCTACTAGAATTTACTCCTTTCGTGGAATTATCGGTGGCAAAACTAATTTTATAATTGTGTGCAAATTTTTTTTATATTCGCTTTAATATTTATTAAGATTTGGTGACGTACACAAAAAGTGAAATTAACATTTAAATTGTCCAATTGTTGGACCACTCTCCTGACTAAACTATTGGGAACAAATTTCCCAGATTGCCGCTATCCCTATGATTTTGGGAATCAGAAATCTGAATCTGTCGAAAAAAAAGTTATGCTTATTCAGAGAAATTACATTTTTGTGTCTGATTTCGTAATTTAAAGTATTGTCGGCACTAATTAGCTAGCATGTTTGAGATTACCTCCTTGAACCATTAAGCTTGAGTCCTCGAACGTGAAGATCCGATCATTAGATCAAAAGTTATTCAGGGAGGTTCTTTTTCTTTTAACTTCCTCATTTTTTGAACAATACACACCAGCGTTAGTGTTTTATATAACGAAGATCAATACAATACCTTTGCTACCACTTGAAAAATATTCTTTCTAATTACGGAATCAATATAATATAGTTAATTAGTATTAATTATAATTAACAACTATAATTACTTATAATTATTTATATTATAATATTAATATAATTATTAGTTTGACAGGTTGGAATCACTAGTGAGAAAGGTGGTATATATATATATATNTATATATATATATATATATATATATATATATATATATATATATATATATATATATATATATATATATATATATATATATATATATATATATATATATATATATATATATATATATATATATATATATATATATATATATATATATATATATATATATATATATATATATATATATATATATATATATATATATATATATATATATATATATATATATATATATATATATATATATATATATATATATATATATATATATATATATATATATATATATATATATATATATATATATATATATATATATATATATATATATATATATATATATATATATATATATATATATATATATATATATATATATATATATATATATATATATATATATATATATATATATATATATATATATATATATATATATATATATATATATATATATATATATATATATATATATATATATATATATATATATATATATATATATATATATATATATATATATATATATATATATATATATATATATATATATATATATATATATATATATATATATATATATATATATATATATATATATATATATATATATATATATATATATATATATATATATATATATATATATATATATATATATATATATATATATATATATATATATATATATATATATATATATATATATATATATATATATATATATATATATATATATATATATATATATATATATATATATATATATATATATATATATATATATATATATATATATATATATATATATATATATATATATATATATATATATATATATATATATATATATATATATATATATATATATATATATATATATATATATATATATATATATATATATATATATATATATATATATATATATATATATATATATATATATATATATATATATATATATATATATATATATATATATATATATATATATATATATATATATATATATATATATATATATATATATATATATATATATATATATATATATATATATATATATATATATATATATATATATATATATATATATATATATATATATATATATATATATATAACCGTATATATATATATATATATATATATATATATATATAAATTTTTTTCCTTTAGTTTAAATAACACAAAACATATCCTATCGTCTTTAGATGGTTACTAAAGATTAAAATGTATAAATTTTAACATTTCGATAGAAAACATATGATGCCAGAGAAGGGGCTTCAAATGCAAAAGTGTTATATTACTTTCAAATGTCACTGTAAAATTAATCTTTCCTGTAGATTTGTTTTGTGACATTTTAAAAATGAATTATATTTTTCATTCTAATATTTTTCTATTCTTTTCAGATAACTCATTCAATTTTTCTCATGTCATACTCATTGTATTATGCATCACACTTGTCATGATAGTGGTTCTTATTTTTATACTGGTATACATTTCCAGACGTTTGTCTAGAGTGTCAAAAGCGTCTTCTGCGCCTCGAAATCAAGTGAGTAATATTGATTTGTTAAATAAATTATTGTATATAATATTCATGATTTATATTTAATTCCCTTTCATAATATGAGATCCAAATTTAATGTATAGATAATATTCCCATACATTCAACTTAACTTAAATCTATTTTATCTATTTGAGTAAGTCTCATTTTTTATCTCCATAAGGATTTGAAAATCATTCTTAGTAACTAAATGTTCCATCTTCATTTTGGAAATTATTTTTCAAAATATATGCTTTTTGCATAGCATATTGTGAGGGCTAGGGAATTAAAAACTAGAACTCAAAAAGATGAAAATTTTTCAAACTGTGTTTCATTTTCAACTGATAAAACTGAGGAGCAATTTTTTTTATTGTTTTCTGTTGCATGAATTATTTAGACTGATAAGATGATGGGATCTTTTAAGGTGATCTAAAATATTTTACACCATTTAACAATTAAACTGCTCTATTCAATTTTTAAGTGCAGTAAAATTAAAATAAAGTATGACGTTAAAATTATTTTGTTACAACAAGCATAATTTATGTCTAAATTTTGCTTGGCTGTTTTTTTTTAAACGAAAGACCAATTTAGTTTATTAGGTATTTTATAATAACAGCGTCCCAGAGCGTCACCCTTTCGAGTGCAAAGGGTAAATATTTTTATGCTGTTTCCATTGAAAAAAATCTTTATTACAAAAGTTATCTGCATTATTGTCAAAGAGAATATAATATGGTCCAGAAAAAAGCAAGAAATGGAAAATTAACGAAAATCTAAATGGTAGACAAACGTAAGAAGAAGAAATGAATCAAGAAAAGAAATGAAAAAGAAAAGAAATGAATGATTGAAAGGAGAATTAAATGAAATATGTTATATTTATATTTGCATGACACATGTATATAAATTACTTCCTAAGATGTCATTATAGGCCTTACATATTGCCTAGCTTTGAAATTCCTTTAATTTAAATTTTTAATCGTTCTTAATCCAATTATAATTAAATTAAATCAATTATTTAATTTTTATCACTTTTTATCGAAAAGAATATAAATAATTCATTCTTTTCTTAAGAATCAAAACTTTTTTAATGAATACAAGTATGTAACTCATTAATTCACTGTCGCGACTAAATCGAATATCAAAATAAATGCTTAACTTTATTTTTCTTTAAGCTGCTTTATTTCTCTGATCACAAAAAAAAAAAAAAAATTTTTTTTTGGTTACAGGTTAATATTAAACTCTCACGGTCTTTTTGGCGTTAAAGCTGTGAGCAGATTATTTAAAATTTAATATTATAACTCGGTGTTGGCTCTGTTTTTGGCTATATTATCGATCGATAACTCGCCAACTTTGGATCATTTCCCACGCTCCTAAGTGTCCGTTTGCAACTATTCTTTCACATTTAAACAGACTTAAAGAAGACTGTTTTAGGCTTAAAGAACAAAAAAGTTATGTCCGTTATCGAAAATTCGAGAAATCTTCAATTGTTTCACTTTGTTGAAATCTTGGACAAAAATTCAATTTTGATATTGCTAAAATTATTTTCACCTCAGTTACATCAGCTCATCTTGATGCTCTGGAATGAAACCCTTGTTTTATGCATAAAAATGCTAATTAACGACATTAAATACTCTACCTCTTCATAACGTGTGGAAATGCATTTTACCCTGATTTGTGTCGGCCACTGAGATCGGTTGATTGAGATCAGCCACTGTGATTTTTCTTGTTCTGGTTTTCATCTTTTTACTCTCGCGGCTCCTGTAGTTTTTCTTGTTTTATTTCTCACCTTTATTTTTTTTGTTGACAAATGTACGTTTTTTTATTTCAAATTATTTTTTCACTCCTGGCAAGTCTAGAAAATGGGCGCCTATTTTTGAGGTGCTTGAAACATGTCGACTGTTATTTCTTATTTACTTTTTCTTTAACCACTTGGGGACGGGTGATTCATAAAAGCATTCGTACAAAATCAGAATCAGGGAGTAAAAAAATAAAAAATGGCAACTTAAATGTAGGCGTTGCTAATTTGACAGACTTACTTTGCCTTTACTTTAATTACTCATAGTTTAATCATAGATATAATCAATGTTAGTTACAATCAATCAAAGCATGGGTGAAAGCCCTTATATAGCAAGACGGAAAAGAGTAAAACCTTCACCACTTTAAAGTACTTTGTTATGTTATTCCTTTTAAAAAGCAAGCAAAAATAGTCACATCTTTGCAAAATTTACTTTGTAGTTAGTTACCGTTTTTTTTAATTATATTGGTGTGTCCGGAGCAGATGGCATCTCTGTAATCCTTCTGCTACTAAGACACAATGTATAAAGAATTTAAACCACAACTACAAATGCCTCCATACTTCCCGTTGTAAAAACTGCATATTCTGTAAAACCATGTATAGTTAGCTCTAATTGCATAATTTTGCAAACAAGTGTCAAAAAATAAGTGGTCTGATAAAAATTAAAGCATGAGGCAGTGGAGTATTTAAGTTTGTAAACTGATTTACCCTAAAAAATAAATATTATATATTTTTAAATTTACTTTAATTAAATTATAATTCGAAAAGATAGTCACAAAAGATTTATTCCACTTCAAAGTGATATTTTATTTGTTTAAATAATGATATAAAATAGGATCATCAGAATTGAAATCTTTCACCTTTGATTAAACTGTATTTTTTTCCAGTTTCTTAGTTCATTTAGAATTCAAAATCTAGACGTCATATTACCATTTCAGGGTTGTTATTCAATCTCTTTTCTCCGAACCGAACAACAAAAAGATCCTTTTATTTCATTTTTAAAAGATTTTCGATAAAATTTCGATTTTCTCCGAATTTGACTCAATTTTAAACTATGGAATTCGTAAGTATATTTTAGTAAGATAATATCTCGAATAGATCTTCACAAATTTTTCATCCTGTTTCAAAGTGTCAATTTTAATCTTTCTTAAAATAATGATATAAAGTGGAAGCGATAGAATTTAAATCCCTTCCCTTTCATTCGAATTTTAACTGATTTCTTCTTTCGTTTCCCAGTTTCCCCAATATACCAAATCCAGATGATTATAGGTTTCTAAAAATAGGCTCCATGTTCGAGTCTCAAGGCTACCTAAAAGCGTAGAACTCTCTTCATTATGGTAGAGTTTTATTCAAATCCAATAGAGGATTTTAGAGTCCTATAAATGAATAAAACATTGAGCATTAAAGTGCATCTTTAGACACGAGTATTGCATTGCTAAATAATAAAATGAAGTTTAACAGAAGTATTCTTGTTCTGTTTTAAATTTATAATCTGGGTAAAATATACTGTTTATAAATAATATTGTTTAAACTGAGCAAATAAGTAACTTACTCGAAAGGGTCGAATTCTTATTTTTGAAAAATTAAAATCAAAAATTTGAAATATTTCGCTAGATGAAATAATAAATATTTCACCCTCATATGTGAATTGACGAAAATAAAAAAAGTGATTTTTATAAAAAACATTATATTTAAAAAAAAAAAAAAAAAAACTAAATAGAATTTTTTTTTACTGCATGAGACTTTTTAATGAATCTTGTATATTATAGCGCGACTGAATTCAAATCTGCTATGGGTTTCTCTTTACAAGCGACAGTTTTTTTTAAATGAAATTATCCGTTATTTTCTTGTCGAAAGGTAAAAGTTTAAAAACTTTATATACAAAAGAGGGTCACATAAATGTTTGAAAAAATTTTAGGGTTGTTGGGGTATAAAGTCATAGGAACCCATATCCGGAAATGTTGTCATACGCTACTAGAGGCGCTTCCCCATTATGAGCTGTTTTTTCTTGACTTCTGAACTGGTTACAATAGGGGAAGCGCCCCTAGTCACGTACGACGACATGGGTTCCTATGCAATTTTGATCCTGACGATGCACCCTAGCTCTCAGAAATTTGTCGCAACATTTACTCAACCCCCTGTTATTTATAACGTTCTTAAACTTATTCTTAAACGTTCTTAAACGTTTGAACAGGTCATAGTAAGGAAGCGCCCTAGTTGAGTACGATATTTCCAAGCATGGGTTCCTATGGATTTTTAATCCTGATATGTCCAAACCATCCCAAAAACCTGTCGCAACGCTTACAAAACCTCTTGTTATTTATAACGCTTTTAAACTTGTACATTTCAGCCAACAATAAACTGAAACTGTTATTTTAAAATCTGAAAAAAAAAAAATTCTGCAGGCTTTAGAAGCAAAACTAGTTTCAGATTAACACTCGAACAAAGCCAAATCAAGTATTTGTATAAATGTAACAAAAAGTTTGTTCCCCCAGTGTTATTGATAATATAATTATTCTGAATTTTTATTATTAATTAGAAGATGAATTATGATTGCAATTATTTAGGTTATTAGGTTAAAAGTATTTTTGAAAATTGTATTGAATATTGAATAGAGTTGCTTTAACTAATATTACTTTCTTAGTTATTAATGTAATGTACAGTATAATGTACAGATTTTGTTGTTATTGGTATGTTAAACTCATAACGCATTTTCATTACGATTATTTCTGAAAATAACATGTGCCTTTCTAGATATTCTTTATTAATTAGTTTAAGCATTTTAGTGTAAAAGAATGTTATTATCTTAATCAAATTAAAATGTAAACTATTTTTAAAAGGTCTATAATTTATAATTAAACTATTTTTCAAAGGAATATTAGTCCTAATATAGGTTATTATTAACTGAGAAGATTTTTGAAATAATTATTTCTTAAAATCGTATATTCCTTCACATTAAATCATTATGATTTAGTCTGGATTTTGTTTTGCATGAAATAATGCTGCTATCTTAAAATAAATAAATAAAATAAAATTGAAATCTTAATCAATCTTCTAATGCCTATTCTATTATTTTCAATATTTCATAGTTGGATATTGGATCATTTTAACTAATATCATTTTCTTAATTAATATTTTTTAATATGTAGGGGAGAGTGGGGTCAATTGTAACATTTTTTGCTTAACTATTTTTAAAAAACAAAAAATCCAATATATT